AAAAAAAAAAAAAAAAAGAGCACGCCTAAGAATAAAATTACTTACTTTAAAAGTTTGAGGACCAAGTGTGCAATTGTTAGTTCTTATGCCGGAAAATGTAGAACCCCTATTCTTCAGCAACTGCTCCCGCACCAAGATCCATACTTCTATTGAAGCAAAGTTTCAAAATCTCGATTTCGCATAATGCGCATATTAGCAGCACGCATCAGCACCGTAAGTCCCAGCAGCTCATCCCTACTTAAACCCTAGCTACCTTTCCCACTTCTTTCCACGATAAACAGTTAAATATCTGCTATTCAATTTGTCTTTTCCCACTCTCGTCTAATTTTTCTCTATTTTTTGATGTAAGTATTTATACAGGAGAAACCCAGTGAAAGTGCAATCTCGAAATTTTTCTTCATCATTCCATACCAGAGGTGATTTTTATACTTCATTTTGTTACTTGGTTCTTTTTCAGAATTTAAATTGAAGTTTAGCGTCTTTGAGATAAGTTATATCAGATAAAAACGCATTTGAATTTTTAATTTTTTAAAATTTTTTTTATGTATTGTATTTGACTATACATTGTTTTTTTTTTTTTTTTAAATGGATTAATTAAAGAATAGGAACATTGAGCTCATTCCGATTTTGCCTTTATGGAATTTGTGCTACTAATTTATCCTGATGGTTCGACGGATTGTATGAAATGGATTTGAAATTGAAATGCTAGCTTAGGAATGATTGGATTTTGTTATAAGACCTCATTGAGTGACCTATGATTTGGCTTTTTATTAGGAGTGTTGGGTTTCATAAAAATGCTTACAAAGTAGGAGCAGTAACCATGTAATGCTCAGTTTTCATTAAGAAAATATATGGACTTAAATTGAGTTGATACTTTAAAGTGGCTGGAGTTTGGATTTAAGGTTCACTAGAAGAATTTATAAATATTAAAGAAGATTATATTGGACGGCACAAGGGAACCACGGTGAGAATATGTCCACTTGTTGCTTCCGGCACACGCATTCCTACGCACATATGTTGGTTAAGTATAGGCACTGGGCCAGTGCTAAATTTTTTGTCCCAGCAGAACAAGCCACGCTCATATCGACTTGAATTCTCCACGTGTTACCCTTTTTCATTGGACAACCCTGTCTTTATTTTTTTTTTGTTTTGATTTATTATGAATACCTTTATTGGCTTTAGATCAGAGATCATTAGAAGAGGAGGCAGAAAGAAAAATCGGATGGATGCTGAAACTACTTTTTGCTGGAACTGCGACAGTAGTGGCTTACCAGTTCTTTCCATACTTGGGTATGTGTGTTGAGTTAAGGATAGTGTCCTATTGTATAATCTGTGCTTCTTTTTTCTTCTAACAGAGTTCTGATGCTTTAGTATCTGACCTTTTGTAGGAGATAATTTGATGCAGCAATCTGTATCACTTCTACATGTGAAGGATCCCTTGTTTAAAAGAATGGGAGCATCCAGATTAGCTCGTTTTGCTATAGATGGTAATGTTTAGTAACAAGTTGATGTTTCCCGTTGTAGTTTATTAACAATTAGATATTTTCCGTCCCTTTAATTCTTCAAAACTTCCCACATTGAAAAATGCTTATTGCTTTGAGTAGTGGTTAGCTTCCAGGAACTTATACTTTTTATTTATGAACATGATCATACTCTTTACCAATCAAATACGAGGACTAGCCTGTTTATAATATATTATTTGCTTGCCATATATAGTGCACAGAGAATAAAACCTGCAGTCTTCTCTGATATGAAGAGAGAATCTGTATGTAAAGCACCATTTCAGTTTCAAAAAATGAAGTTGACTTGCTGAAAATAACATGTAGGGAAGGAATATTCATTGCATAATTAATTATCTTAGCATCTCTCTCCCCTCTACCTTAACCCCCTTCCTACTATGCACAAAACAAGAAAAGGTTAGATGAGAGAAGGAAGAAAAGGAAGCCTAATCTTCACAGTCTGATACCCGTAACTCTGCCCAAGTCCATTCTATCACAAATATGCACTTGTAGTTTGAGATATACTCATTAAAGAGGATTAGCATGTGACTGGATCGAGGGGACTGGTGAATGGAACTTTTTGTCCTTGATCTTTGCACGGTGATTGAGATATGAAAATGGTACTAGAATAACTCAGGTGATCTCTGCCTTTCTGAAATTTTGATCTCAGACGAAAGGAGGATGAAAATAGTTGAGATGGGTGGTGGTCAAGAGTTACTAAACATGCTGGGGGCTGCTAAAGATGATCGTACTCGTAAGGAAGCTTTGAAGGCTCTTGTTGCCATTGCACAGTCAGGTCAGTGTTTCAATGTTTTCATTCATTTTCTTTTTGCCTTTACAAATAAATAAAAACATAGATACATGATAAATGGTAAAACTTCCTGTTGGGGAAATCTGCTTATTTTTAATAAACACTTGCATGAGCATGTCTGTCTGGGGCTTAAAACTGGACCTATCTTATAAGTAAAAAATGTGAATAATAAAAAAAGCACATATGTTTGGATGTCACTTGTTTACAAGTACAATAAACACACATGTTTGGATGACGTATTTATTTATAAGCTTTTGGCAAGTGTGAAAATACCGAAATGCCTTTAAGGTCTTCAATTGAAGGGGACCGTTCATTCTACTAAGATTTTTGACATATATATTTGACAAAGAATCTCAACCCTTAATTTAAACGAATCTAATGAACTAGATTTATATCATTAAAGCACTTTAAAATCCTAAAATGGGTCCCACCCAATAACCAAAACCATTCCCCTCTTTCTCACTCTCTATATATCCCACACCACCCATGCCCCCCTCTCTATCTATCTATATATATATATATATATGGAGAGAGATAGAGAGAGAGAGAACTTTTGTTAATGAAGTCACGATGATTACGACAAATATTTTGAATTATATTCATTTCACTTCCCGATTAATGCCTTCACATGAAAATACTCTTTCAGAAGTTTTTTATTGGAAAATATGACTTAAACGAATAAGAGAGTCCATTAAAAAATTCTTTAGTCTTGTGACAATACTTTATAGAAAGCAAATTACAAGTTTAATATATAGAGAGGGGAAGAGAGAAAGAACCACTAAATCAAATTCTAGTTTAAGTGAGGATTAATAGCAGAAAATCCCCCTAAAAACCTTTTCAATTGAGATATACCCTCCAACCTATTGGAAATCACCGAAACCCCCCTGTTTGAAACATTTTGTGCGAAAAACCCCTTACCATCCAATTCCGTTAGTTTAACCATTAAAAATAGTAAAAATTGCAAAAATTAAAAGAAGAATAATTACAATTTCAATACCTAAATTTATTTTTTTACAAATTAAATTCAATTTGTTTTAATGTCTCACCTACAATTCCAAATTTTTAAAATTTTATTTTCCACCCTACCCCAACTCACCCTACTTCATCTTCTTCCCAAAAATAAAAAAGTTTCTCTCCGCCTCTAACCAATCGAGAATCCCCATTGAACATCTCAAAAGAGGGACTTGCCAAAAATTTACTTCAGCTCCCGAGCCTATTTCTTCGATGCCTTCGTCTTCTTTAGTTTCGGTTGCTAATATGGACCCTAGTGCCAATACTTCGTCTTCTCCTCAACAATTGCATAGCCACCATCAGAAGCGCAGTTCTTCTGCTGGTAGTCGTCGCAAGGGAGAAGGTAGTTGTTGCATTTGCTAGTGCAAGTCCTCGTGGTGGGGGTGCAGTGGTGATATGTTGTATGGACAGCAACACCAACTAGTGTTTGGTGGAAATCAAGATTTGGGACCTCTAGCAATGTTAAAGGATAGTTTAAAGAGATTGAGGACTTGATGCCACACTAGATTATCTTGCTGATTGGTTTTATAAGTATTGTAGGTCAGTCTCAATTTCAAGTCTTCAGCACCCTAAATTCAAGGCATTTCTCAACCATACTTTAGCACCCTGCAATTTCACCAAGAGAATTCTCCGGGTCGAGATTAGATGCTAAGTATGAGTTCAAGGCCAAAATTAGATATGCAACGTTCTTTCAGATAGCATCTGATGGTTGGAAGTAAAAGAATGATGGCCTTTTCGGGGATTACAATTTTGTGAATTTGACGGTGAATCTTCCTCGTGGGACTAGTGTGTTTAGGTTGAAAGTAAAAGATTGGTGTTCTAAATTTCGCATTGTGTGACCTATGGAGAAAGTGATAGACAGGAGGTTTGAAAAAAATTATCATCCAGCTTGGTCTTACTCGATCCATTTTATTTGATTTCAAACAGTAGTGGAAAATAGAGAAAGTAGCAGTTATGCTAATTTTTGAGGAGGAAGAAGATGAAGTGGGGTGGGGTGGCACCGGGGTGAAAAATAAAATTTTAAAAATTTGAGATTGTAAGTGGCACATATAAAAAATTCGGATTTAATTTGTCAAAAAACAAAAAGTTTGGGTATTGAAATTTTAATTATTTATTTTTAATTTTTGCAATTTTTACTTTTTTTAACGGTTAAACTAACGGAATTGGACGGTAGGGGGGTTTTCACACAAAAGGTTTCAAATAGGGAGGTTTTCTGCGATTTCCAATGGGTAGGAAGTATATCGCAATTGAAAACGTTGTTAGTGGGTTTTCTGCTAAGATTAAGTGAAGAGAGCATGACCATCTTAGCAATAATTGAAACTTAATCTTATAATTTAAAATAAAAGAAAAAAGAAGATTAGAGTGATGAAAGAAAAGGAAAAAATATCTAAAGAATTACTAAAATAAATCTAGTTCATTTGATTCGTTTAAATTAAGGGTGTAGATTCTTTGTCAAATTTATTTGTCAAAAGTTTTGGTGGGAGGAACGGTCTCCTAAGAAGTACTGATACAAATTCGGATATGGATGTGTAATTCTAATACGATATGATACCGGTACGTCAATATGACTTTTTGAAAAAAATTAGAATATGCGGATAAGTGTTATGAAATTCAATGTAATTTCATTAATATAAAAAAAATAAAACAGAAGCATAAGATAAATATAAAATACTAAAGTATTTGATCTTAATCCTTAATTATCCTAATTTCATTTCTTCAACACTAGCTTCTTCATTATCATTAAAAATAATACACTTCAACTCTGGCTCGTTTAATAACATATTAGCAACTTCAGTCAGTTTAATATCTTCAAGAGTATCAAATGAGTCTCCATCAATGTCTTACATTTTGGATTCTCAATTTGAATAAAGAACTAATTTTCTTATTAAAAGGTGTAGATTACTATGAATAAAAACTAATTCTTCAGCTTGTTGTAGAGTTATTTTATTCCTTCTCATAGAGTGTTTAGAAGAGTGTGTACTCCAATTTTTTTTAGCACAAGATGAAGAAGGTTGTACAAGATGTTTCAATACAATTCTTTGAAACAAAGATGCATGTGAACCATGAAGTAGCCACCAAGTCTTTGAATCCTTATCATACTGATTAGTGATAGAAATAAACTCACCAGTGATACTCTTCTTCACGTGTCCTAACGTATCGGATACGTATTGAAAATAATTATGAAATATAACACAATTAAAAAATATGTATCCGATATGTATAGCAATATTGAAAAATATAAAATAATTAAAAAATGTGTATCCAATACATATCCAAGTTTGGATACGTATCGGATACGGGTACGCAATGAGTTTACAAGTATCCTTGCTACTTAGACGGTCCCTTAATTGAATATTTAAAACAAAGCTAACAATTTTTATATCAAATCTTCCATGAAAAATAGAACAAGGACAGGCTTTGGGATTATAAGATAGTTTGATCAGCCTATAAGACCAGCCAAACATGTCTTCTATGTCTATATAAGGATAAATGGTCAAGCAGAACTGTTAGGATAATCTGTTTCTCCTTAATTAACACTTATATATGCCTTGTGTTTCTTTAACTTCTATGAATTGAAATTTTAAAGTTAAGCATAAGAAGTCTAGTAATATATCTTATTCCAGTTAAATTACCATACAGGAAATGATATATTCACACTCTATTTTGTACTGACAAAAGTGACCTCAAAGTTCATCTGCAACGGCCTTATATCTTCACCTCACATACTCTTATTTTGCCAGCAAAGAGAAGCCTGCATTTCTTTTTCTGATCTGGTCTATAAGTCTGAAGTAGCCACTCAACTTTATCAGCCCTACATGTTACATATTAAAAAATGAACAGATCTTACAAAATTAGTTTATGAAATGAGTAAATCATCCATATATTTCCTTAACATATGGATTTATTTTTTTTTTAAATGTCCGTATTTTGCCTTGCTAATTATATATTGTCAATTTTATCATCGAACTGAGATTTCATGAAAATATATATGATTAGAGGTATTTTAATGGCTGAGACTAGAAATACTTGTGGGTTATACATACCAGCTGTGAAATAAAGTAGAGGATAGCTAATAATCCCTTTTCCTTTTCTTATCATACTTCTCTACGAATAAATCTGATTGGGAAGGTTTTTTGTCACCTGATACTGTAGATGAAGCTGTTGGTGCTTTACATCAAGCTGGAGCAATCTCTGTCATCAGGTCAACTCCAGATACAGTTGAGGACTCTGAAATTGAGACATACAAGTTGAACTTGATGAGAAGATTTCGAGATTTCGAGATATGATGTTCCATTTTGAGATGTGTTGACAATGATTTTGGTTTGTCAACTTGAAAACTACATATACAGGGAAGGTTTCTGGTACAGTTTATGGATAAAATTTCATTTCTCAAACGATACAATTTTTGCATTGTTCTTGTACTGAGGGAAAAAGGTGAATCTATAAATCCTTGTGTAATTGAATTCATATTCTCGTGTTATTACTTTGCACAGGGAGTGGTCCCTACAGAGGCATGTTATGTAGCTATTAGTAATATTTCAGACTAACCTATGAGTCAAACAGAGACGAAATTCTTCATATTGATCTGAGAGTCATATATGGAAAGGCTCTTGCTCATTATATGAAAGGTACGCCAGGGATACCGATGGAAATTTTCGAGGCAATTTTCCTGTAAATGTACTTGCGCCAACATCTAGTCCTATATTTTTTTTATTTGAATAAAATAAATTGGAAACATTTAGGACATTGAAATCTGGGGATATTTCTTTGTGAAGGCTATGATTGTTTATGCGCTTATCATTTCTTTGTTTTTAATATGGTGGGTGAGGAATGTCAAGAAGAGCTTTGCAGCTATCTAGCATGCTTTAGTCACTGTGTTCAGAATTTCAAGGGTTTGGGTATTTAGTTTCTTCAATCTTTTGGTTATGAATCATTTGCTGTTTCGTTACACCAGTTTATGCTCAACGAACAAATCAGTTGAGAAAACCCAATGAGGTCGGGCTGCATTTTTATTCATTGGATGTCACTTTAACTAGTGCTAATTACAGGTGGTGGTACATAGCATTGCTCAATTTGTAATGGCTAATCCCAGATTGCCTCTGATTTGATTTTTGGCATGTGGTTTAAAAATATGCAAGCTATCAGTTTATGCTCTTAGAATCCTGCAAATTACTAGTAATTCCAAGGGGGGGTTGGGAGCAGGGCAAGCCTTTATAATGTTTACTTGGTTATACTTTGAAACTGATTCTGCATGTTCAAGCTAAACAGTAGCCTTGATTTAGCTCACATTTTTTCTGCATTGAAGTATAATCATATCTGGGCTCTTGTATACAGACCTGGGCATTCTTGTCCAGTGTGATATCAGCTTAAACAGAGTGACAATTTGATTGTAGAGGTACTAATCTTTGTTTTCGATCCAAAAGTAAAATGTATTTGTCTAAAAGTTTAAGTAGTTAGAGAATCTAAATTTTTTTCTATACATGTAATAGGGAAATTCAGTTTGCGAGGTGAAGAAAGCTACAACATGAGAGTATATCCTTGTGCATTCGTCGTGGAATTCACATGTCCCATGTTTGATATGAGAAGACATGATGAATTAGAGAGGAAAAAATTGGTTGATGCCTATTTTTTTTGGTTGAATTGATACATGTATTTCACAAATAAATTTTAATAATGGTGCTATTCATTACTATTAGCACCAATCTAAGTGAAAAGTATATGGTATTAAATTATATATTCACTCAATTGTTGCACGATTCATTTAGTTGAATTTATCAAATAGTGGCCATCTAAACTAGTGTTCTAACACCACTGATGTTAGATAATATTATTCAAATTTTAATTATGCACTGCTCAAGGTATTAGCTTTGATTGCTCGTTAGTGATTTTATAGTCATCTCCAAAGTAATTATTCAAAATACAACTTTGATTTTTGAATTTCGAAATCTTGTGAAGAAAAGTGAGCCTTGATTTAGGATTAGATGCTTGGCAATGATGGGGTCTGATGGGAAAAATGATTCGTGATCGTGGCTAAATCTAATTTGTTCATTCTGTAATTTTTCTTAACTTTGACTTGATAAGCAATTAAAGAAATTTAATTTGAGCCATTTGCTTAACGGGGTAGTCCTCGACTTAGCAGCCCTAATCGTTTTACTCGATAATTATGTACCAATATTTCCCACATAATAGTTTTGTCTTGTTGATGTGCTAATGAGAAATATTAAATTTCATGCATATTCGAAATATATACTTAATACCTTTACTATGTCAAAAATATTTTCGTCGTCACACACACTTAGAAAATTAAAAATAGTATTTTTTTTTACAACCGATTTATATTATTGATGTCCGAGGGTTCCTAGGGCTATTTCATCGAACTTTTGATGACACTTGGAATCAGATTATTAACAACTGCTAATTTTTTTAATCAAAATGTCAAATTATCAAGGCATATATATATTTTTGATAGCGAAAGAAATTACTAATTTAAGTGATTAAATTAAACAATTACACAAACTTTGGGCACGTAAATTTGCTGTCTTAAATATTGAACTTTAGGAAACTGCTAAGAAAGATCTTCTGAGTTTACAAATCCTGCTAATCAAACTTTTGACCATTTCATTTCTTCAAGAAACTTCAGTGAGAAAGAAAATATTAAAACCATCTTCGGGGACGTGAATCTCCAGTCGGGACACATAGAAAGTCTCTTTATTACCAAGACAAGATTTTAGCTTCTTTTTCAAGTCAAACCATAGATGTTTCAACCTGAGGTAACGCGGTTTGTCCCAACTATCGGTGTTGTAGGGGACGGTTTTTGCTTCCCTTATCTAGTGGACCTGATTGTGAAGAAAAATACTGGATTCTCTAACACAAATATCGACGTGGTAGACGACAATGGAACTCTCTTGCTGCAAGTTAGGGGTTCCATATGGCAATTCAAGAAGAAGAGAGTTATGTGTGATTCAATATCTTCTCCTCTTTTGACAATGCGCCAAAAGGTACATTTCTGATAAATTGTGTGGTTCCTTTTCATCTTTGAATTAAATGGGTTGCTGATGAATGTGAAAATAAGACTGTAACTTTGCTCTTTATCTAGAGGTTTCTTTCAAGGATCCCCCGAAAATGAAGCAAGAGAAAGCACGATTAGTCTATTAATACCCATTTTGTACATATATGTTACAGAATTACAGTATTTGTGAATGATCAGGACGAGATCTGTTGGATCTAATCTAGGACTTAAGTTACACTAATCTGACATTTCTGTCGGCGTTAATGAGCAGAAAAAGGAGTTTTTCCAAGCATATTGTCATGATTTTACTTTTTAGGACACGGTTAGTTGGGTGCCTAAAAAAGGAACAGTATGCTCGAGTGATGTTGTGTGCCTCGGTCCTCAGTCTTCGAGCTAGTATTTTCTGGTGGTGTTCACGCGTTCCACTTTGAGTTTGAACAGTATCAGTTAAATCGACAGTTGTCTTCAACATTGGAGCTATTCATATTTTTCACAAGTCATATGTAGTACATAGAACATTTTGTCATACCTCGAAATCTGAGATTTTCTTGAACGTGTACCAGGAGGTTGCTTGGCGTCAACGTTGGACAGTTCATCACGGGGTGGGCTCAGAAGAAAGGGATCTTCTCTATACTGTGGAACAATCACAGTCTATCCAGTTCAAAACACAACTTAGTGTATTTCTGGCAACCAACCTAACTAGAGAAATCTGCGATTTCCGTGTAGTTGGAAGTTATGTTTCTCAGTCTTTCAAAGTTTATAAAGGAGACACTTTGATAGCAGAGGTATGACTCCAGTTTATAAAGTGTACTAATTGACTAGGAAAATATTAAGAAGTGAAAATCTTATTTATGCTGTCTTCCAGTAGTGTTATCAAACGTGTCTATAGAGTTCAAATCCCGTACTGATAACCCGTGTTTATCTATGATGTAGGTAAAGCAGAGGTTCAAGTTGGGAAGCTTAGGCAAAGAGAAGTTTGAAGCAAGAGTTTATCCTGGGGTTGATTATGCATTCATTGTGTCTTTACTTGTAATACTTAATGAAATAGATGCTTGATTATACTTCTAATCCTACTTCCTATAAAAGAG